ATGTGGGACTCGATCCCAGGACCCTGGGATCATGACCTGAGCTGAAGGCAGTCGCTTAACCAACTGAGCCACCCAGGCGCCCTTCTGGGCACTTTCTTTGGCTGACACCTTGCAGGCTATTTCTGGGCCCTTCTGCAGTGTCACTGGGCATTTACAAGGTGTTATATTGAAAACCTTTTCCACTCTGCCAGCTCATAATTCCTCATTGTATAAAGTCTGCCGTTTATCCCATCTATTTAGTTATTTATTTATTTATTTATTTATTTTTATTTATTTTTTTTTATTTTATATTTTTTCCCCCTGGACTTTAGAAATAACATTCTGACTCTGTTTCAGTTTTTCTATTCTTTTTATAATGGCCTATTTTTGTCTTATGAATTTGAATATAGCTTTTGTATCTTGAGCATATTAAACCTACCTATTTTAAAGTCACTTTCACATTCACGGCTCAGGAACCCTTGGTTCACCCACTTGTTCCCTTTGCTCCCTCTTGCAGCAGGGAGTTTCCATGGGTGTCTTATACCGTCTGTCTGTGAGCTCATCTCCAGCAGGGTTGCCTTTGAGAGACTCAGACATGTCCTGGGTTGTGCAGGTATTTGCCTCTGCCAAGCTCGGGATTCCAAAAGGCCAGTTTTCACACGAGCTTCTCAGCTCAGTCTCTCTGTGCCACATTCCTCAGAGCTACAGATGAGCATAGGGCATGCCTGTTCCTCTGGTGATTCTGTTACTACCCACTGCCCAGGACAGACATCCAAGTTCTGCTCCCATCAGTGGACACTTTTTCTAGACATGTGGAAGGAGAAGATGGCCCTTTTTTCAATTCTGATTTTGTTTAAAAAGCTCACTTCTAGCTTCATTGACTCCTCCAAGTCCTAAGAGTTTGTTTTCATCCTTGTGCCCCCATGGGCCTCATGGCTTCCCCTCCCAATCACGGAACACGACCCGTCTGCCATATTGACTGAAGGTTCCTTCTTCCACTTTTTAAGGCAACTCTGAAAAGAGTAAAAGGATATGAATTTTGGTTTTCTTTGAATCTGCCCTGTTCATTATGGTAGCTACCAACCCTATGTAGCTATTTAAATTTAAGTTAGTTAAAATTAAATAAAATTTGGGGCGCCTGGGTGGCTCAGTCGTTAAGTGTCTGCCTTCGGCTCAGGTCATGGTCCCAGGGTCCTGGGATCGAGCCCCGCATCGGGCTCCCTGCTCAGCGGGAAGCCTGCTTCTCCCTCTCCCACTCCCCCTGCTTGTGTTCCCTCTCTCGCTGTGTCTCTCTCTGTCAAAAAATAAATAAAATTTTTTAAAAAAATTAAATAAAATTTAAAGTTAAGTGCCTCATTCTTACTGGCCATACTTCAAGTGCTTGATAGCCACATGTGGCTAGAGGCTGCCATATTGGGTAGCGCAGGCATAGAACATTCCTATCACCATATAGGAAGTTCTGCTGGACAGTATTGCTCCAAGCAGTTTCCTGTTTCCCAACTCATTTTCTCTCCCTCTCACAGGTCTATTTTGCTGTCTATACCTTCAAGGCACGGAACCCAAATGAGCTGAGTGTGTTAGCCAATCAGAGACTCAAGATCCTGGAGTTTAAAGATGTTACGGGAAATACAGAGTGGTGGTTAGCCGAAGTTAATGGGAAGAAGGGCTATGTTCCATCCAATTATATCCGCAAAACTGAATATACCTGAGCCTATTCCCTCTCCCGTTTAACCTTGCTGCCTTCACTTCCTTCTGCTGAAGGGTTCTGGTGGCCCTCCAAGAGGGCACCTGCTCCTGGGACACCGGCCCCGTCTGCATTGTTTAACCAACCACGGCACAGCGCAGGGCACAGGATGAGTCTTGTTTCCTGACATTGGGTTGTCAACTTTGATGCTCACTAGACTTTCTAGAATTTTAAATGGACCCTGGGGCTTGTGAATGATTCTGTGACCATGAGAAGAAAGGCAAGTCTTGGGTCAGCCTTTGGAAATGAGAAATTTCCAATGGGAAGACCAGTATCGGATATATGCTGGAAGCTGTGCTCCAGCATGAGAAGATGTTGGCGTGGGTTGTACCATACTGAGTTTGGGGCAGTCCCATGCTCCACGAAACTGACTTGGATGAAGAGAATTCTCTGGGAGCCCTTTTAGACTGCGCCTCTGCACGTGGCAAGAAGTTTGTTGAGATTGTACCAAATCTGGTGTTTCAACGCTTCAGTGTTTGGCACGCATTCACACATACACACCCACCCCTAATTTCTAAAAGTCCCTAAAACACTATCATCTGTAATCTTATTTATTTCAAATACTGCATTTCCAGATCGGCTAGGCAAAATTCAATTGCGTTCTCTTTTTAAAAAGTGTTTAGGGTCTTTACTTCCCTTCAGTCTTTCTATGAATGGGTCTCTTCCCTTTGAGGTTTACAACCTTCTGCCCCTTCTAACAGTCACCTCTGCTTTATTGAGTCCGTGTGTGATGTCTTCTGGCCCTTCACCTGCAACCCAATAACTGATAGCTTTTCCTAGGAGAACAAGATCAGAGCTCCAGCCACCCCATGGAAAGAGCTCGCCCTACAGTAAGCTGAAACCAGTCTGGCCTGGTGGAAGATGGGATGCCTTTCTCCTTCATCCACACTACTGTCCACAGATGCAGAAAGCATAATGCTTGTGTATTGTATGAGTGAGAAGCAGTCCCAGAGGTAGCTTATCCAAGACTTGGAAATCAGCATTTTCTGTTTTACCACTAACCTCCATGCTTCAGGAACCGTAGTCTAAGCCAAACAAATCCTAAAGTGCCTGATCGTCCCTCCCTCTCGCCTCAGGAAGATCTTCGCTAATCCTTACACAAAGAATCTCCCCCTGAAAATTCTATTTAAGCAGGGCTCTTATTCTTAAGGTCTTCCCCAGATATGAAGCCTACCTTGGAATAGAAAACTATGAATTTTGCCTTAAGAAAGGGAATTAAGAACACCTTACAGCCCCTGCTCCTTCAAGTGCACCTTTGGTCTTAAAATCCTGATGAGCGGGGAGACACCTGTGGGACCCCTTAGCCCTGTGTGTCTGCGGGTTGGTCAAAAGGCAGCAACGCGAGTCTCCTGTGAACAGTGTTTATATTTAGAGATGTTTATATTTAAGTAGTTATTTTATAAATAAAGGCATTTCTAAGGGCCACGAGTATGTTTTCTTGATTTCCGTCCACGTGTTTAGCTTGAACCTTATCGGATTTCTGAGGGTACCTTTTGGACAATTCAAAAATGATGGTAAGAAAATAGGGGAGGCTAACTGAAGAAATTCAAGTCAAAAATTCATTTTGTCAAATATAATTTCAACAGAATGACTGTCCCCTCAAAAGATGCCTATGCTGCAGGTGGTTGCCTGTGTATCTTCAGCTGTTTTGTACTATAAAAATCCTAGCACAACGGAAGAACTGAAGGCTCTAAACTGGAGTCCCTACAAGGTAAGTACTTTGCTGGTACCACAGAGGTGGAAACTGATGCCCTAGAGGTGAAGTAACAAGGCCTGGAGTGGCTGCTGGGTGGGGGTGAGATCGGGAGGGGGAGAAGTAGCAGGAGCCCTGGCCATTGTGGGGAGGCGGGGGTGGGGGGACTGTGAAGCAACTGCCTGATACTGTGAAGGGGGAGAAAACATGACGGAATAGGTGGACTCTGAGGAAAAGAAATTTATCGATCAGCCAGGCCAACTCTTATTTTATGGACGAGGACAATGGGCTCTAGTGACATTGTGACTTCCCCGAGCCACACATCAAGTTTTTGATGGATCCTGAATTGAAACTTGGGTCTCAGGTTTTCCGGCTGAGTCTTTCCACCTTGTTCTGGAGCCAGACTGTCTGGCGTCAGACACTTAAGAGCTTTGTGACTTGGGCAACTTACCCAACCTATTCTTCAGCTTCCTCATCTAGAGGAGATAGTCGTACTACCAGCAGCATGGGTTGTTGTATGGATTGAATGAGTTAGTACGTGGAGAGTGCTAGAACACTGCCTGATGCAGAGTAATAAATTGGCGAGCCTTGAGGTCCAAGTCAAGGAATTTAGATTTGATGAGTCTGGTAATAAGAAACTGGTAGGTTCTTAAATGGATTGCCTGTTTTAGGAAAGCTAAATGTTAACAGGATGATTGAGAGGAAGGACAGATCAAAGGCAGGAAAATCTAATTAGTTGGAAAAAAGTTAGCTGCTTTGGGCATCAGATTGCTTGAGAGTGGAAAAAAGCATCCTATAAATACTATGAAATTGAAGAAATGGGATCACTGGCAAAAGGGAGGTCACTGGGATGGGAGCAGGTTTATGTTTTAAACACTAGATGTCTGCTTCTCTTGCACCTGCAAGTGTGGCCTTCAGCCCAGTGGCAAAACTATAACCTGGGAGCTGCTGGAAACGCAGGCCCCTCCCGGGCGTCCCAGGGCTCAAGATCCTGATATGATTTGTGTGTACATCAAAGTTTGAGAACCATCTGTCAAGACAATTTTTTTTTTTTTTTAAAGATTTTATTTACTTGCTTGAGAGAGAGAGAGATGGAGAGGGAGAAGCAGACTCCCTGCTAAGCATGGAGCCGGATGTGGGACTCGATCCCAGGACCCTGAGATCATGACCCGAGCTGAAGAGGTGAACGTAGATGCTCAACTGAGCCACCCAGGCGCCCCCAAGGCAATTTTTTAAATGGAACTTTCTACTGTCAGAAAAGAATTACAAAACCCATGGAAGGAAAGGGTATCAGATGTTTCAGACACAACAGAAGAAAATGTTATTGAAGAAAATTTCTAAATCCGACTTGTCTGCTTGCTTCATCTCGTGAATTTTCTCCCTTTCCTGCCTGGAAGTAGCTGTTCAGTTATGCTTTTATCCAAGAGTCCTAGGAGAACGGAGCAGTGGTGGGGATAGCCATCTATAAAGTCTAGATTTCTGGCTTTCATCTCAAGATTATTGTGAGAACCAAATAAGATGACACATGTAAATTTTTGTGCAGTGTGAACTCTAGGAGTACATGGTTCTAATAAGGGTTGAATTTTGTGTCACCCTGTTTTAATTAGTTGCAAAGCTAGGACTCTGCTTATGTGGGTTTTGTTTCAGGATCAGGAATACAAACTGGCCCTAGAAGAACACAGCTGTTTCACGTGGAGAACCTTAGCCCAGAGGACCAAGAAACGTCAAGATGTATACACATCATTCTAAATCCTCTCTCTAGTTGCCACAGCTGGTACAACTGGGGATTTTAAGCTCTTCTGCCTATTAAGACATTGTACTGATGGAGTTTTTACTGTTACACTGTTTACTGTTTGTTGGGTACAGCAGAGCTCTTGCTTTATCTCACCCAGCCCACTGGAATCTTCTTGCAGTTGTTACTGAAGATGATTAATAGTATTTTGCCTGTATCAAGAAGGGAGTGTTCAACAACAAATTGGGGGCCTTGCAAGTTACATAGGGCTACCTATTCCTTCGTACCCCTCCGAGGTGACCCTCAAAGAGAAAGGAGCCAATTTTAGTGTCTTCCCAGAGGTAAGTTCTGGTAGTGTGGTGGGAGGGAGCGAATGTTCTGGTTAGGGCCATGGCGGGCTGTTCATTCAGGAAACGTTGATTGGGAGCAGGGAGATGCATGGGAATGCTCTGCAGACCTAGACCATGGTATAAGGCTCTGCCTGTGTAGCGCTGTGCCTAGCTGTCCCTGAGACACCGAGGTTCGGCTCCAAACCTTTCCCCTGGCAGCCACTCCTAAGGTTAGGATTGGGGATGCTGAGAGGGACTGCTGATCCATCCACAGCCTCCTCTTGTCATTGGAATTACCATGTCTCACTTTAACAAGGGACCATCCTACAACCTCTCAGTGGAGATCAAGAAAAGAGAACCTCCCGAAAATGATGAAGCTGAGTAAGACCTTCGCAGTTTGCTAGAAGGGATGACAGGCATGAGCATTGAAACCCATTTTCAGCAGGGCTAAAAGGATGGCATAGTCCTCTACAAATTCAAACAACAGGATTTATTGAAGATCATGAATTATTAAACCAACTTCAGTTGGAGAATATTGGCAATTCTGTCAGAGCTACTTGGACTTGGGGTAGTGTATGTTTCCCACTGTTGCTACAACAAATTACTACAATCTGTGGCCTAAAACAACACAAATTTATTATCTTACAATTCTGGAGGTCAAAAGTTCAAAATCAGCCTCACGGGGCTAGAGTCACCGTGTCAGGAGGGCTGGTTCCTGCTGGAGGCTCCAGGAGAGAATCTATTTCCTTGTCCTTTCCAGCTTCTAGAAGCTGCCTACATTGGCTTATGGCCCCTTTCTCCAGCATCAAAGCCAAAAGAATAATGTCTCCCAATGTCTCCGTCATCACATCGTCTTCATTCTAACTGTGACCCTCCTGCCTCTCTCGTGGGGATCCTTTTGATGACATTGGGCCCCTGTGCATAAGGTCACCTCAATATCCTTAATCACATCCGCAAAGTCCCTTCTGCTATATAAGGTAAATAAATCCTCATGGGTTTTGAGGGTTCCCAACCATCTGCCTTCTGGGAACCAACCATTAGTTGGTTTTCTTAAGAATCTGTTTCTTGGTTTGTTAACCATTGGTTTGCTTTGGGGACCATTATTCTATCTGCTGCAGGTATAAAGCCACTTGATATTTTTGAGGCAAATGATCTTTTTGAAAATGGAAACATGATCCAGTTTAAGCTACACTGGTGATTCTGGAATAGGGGTCAGCAGACCTTTCCTGTAAAAGGCCAGATAGTAAATATTCTAGACTTTGCAGGCCATACAGTCTGTCACAACTCCTCAGCTCTGCCACTGTAACCCCAAAGCAGGCATAGATAATAAACAAGTGAGCACGGCTGGGTTTCAGTAAGTCTTCATTTACGAAACAGCCAGCCAGAGTTGGCCCTTGAGCCATACCCCTACTCTAAGTCTGGCTAAAACAAAAGGATTTGCGTCAACCATTAACATTGAAGTTAAGTATGCAGGAAAATGAGACCTTTTGATGAAGGAAAATGAAAAGCTAGCAAAAGCGTAATTGGTTTACAGATCGGAACTAACGTATCAGCCAGGCAGATATTTATGGGGCTAGGAGGTGTCTGTATGATACCAGGATGTAAACCATAACAAACCAGATCACAGTTTACCTGCAGCTGGGTGCTCACAACAAGAGAGCCAACAGGCAACGTTGTTAGCACCAGGTTTGGGAGAGAAATCTCTGTCTAGATGTACAATCAGTGGATAACTTGACAATCTCTACAGAAGGAATCTGTTTCCCAGAGAGGAGTGAGTGGCTGTGAGCTTAAGCAGCAGTGGCCCAAAGATCGCTGCTCCTACAGAGCCCGTCATTTGCAGCGGAAGCCAAGAAGAGGGTAAGTGGACCTGAAATCCGTGACCGTGGTTGTCGGGAAGAATAGAGGCTATCACAGGACCAAGGTGACTAACCAATAGGGTGGCCAAGGCCTTGATTGAAGAAAGGAGCTCGCATATTAGTTCATTTCTAAGTTCAGTAAAAACCAAACTAGTCTTTAGTAATTTTTCTTTTCTTCCTGAAACTTTATTTTTCTGCCCATTTTACCTAAAAGAAATCCTGCCTTTACATATACCCCTTTTTTACTTTTTGCAACTTCTTTCCTAAGTGGCTGCTTTTCCACTTGCAGCTGTTAAACACTACAGCATAATGTATAACTTGCCTATGAAGTAAAAAGGAATACCACGGAAATGGACTGCTTCTTATAGCCAATTCCTTTATGCATTTTTACAGTCTTTTACTCTCATATCTTCAAGCATCATAAAGCCTTTTATTTTTTAATTTTTATTCCGGTATAGTTAACATACAGTATTATTATAGTTTCAGGCATAAACTGTAGTGATTCAACAGTTCTGTACATTTCCTCAGTGATCATCATGGCAAGTGTGCTCTTCATGTTCGTCTATTTCACCCATCCCCCCCATCCATCTGCCTTCTGGGAACCAACCATCAGTTGGTTTTCTTAAGAATCTGTTTCT